GTGCATTTGGCACTAGGACACACTTGGTTGCAGGCTAATGATTGATTCTGTAATCATATCATGCATTTCATGGACTTTTGGGTGGAGAGGTGAGCTGCTTCTGTTGGCGTCATCATGCAGTTATTTGTATAAATTGGCTGAGATAAGAATTAGCAACTCCAAGTCTGAATCCTTTGTTTTCATCTGGGAAAAGTTAAAGTGTCTACCCTGGGGTGGGGCTGAATTATTGTCCCAAGTACCTCAGTTTGTCTCAGAGTCTGATTCACTAAAGAGGGAAAAATGATGAAGGAGACTGACAGATGGATTTGTGCAACATATGCAGTAATGCTGCTGCTGCTGCATGAGCATTGAGTATGAAAGAGAAGTTTTTGATTTACTGGGCAATATATTTTCCTACCCTCACCTATGACCACAAGCTCTGGGTAGTGACTAAAAAATGAGATCACAAATACAAACAGTTGACATTAGCTTCCTCTGAAGGGTGTCTTGGCTCTCCTATAGAAGTAGGGTTAGAGCTTGGTCATGCTGAAGGGACTGAAATTAGAGCCTTTACTCCTCCTTATCAAAAGGAGCCAATTCAGGTCCTTCGTGCATCTGACCTTTTGAGCATCATCTAGGTGAGATGTGCTGGACACGTCCAACTGGAAGCAAACCCTATTCTAACCCAGGATATGCTGGTGAGAACATATGTCTCGGCTGGTTTAGAAGCATTTTAATTTCCACCTTGTTTAGCTCCTCGTGTTGGTGCTGCACTTTTACTTTTTCCCACCATTGGCTGGCAGATTTTCATCTTCTCTCCTATTGGTAAATTAATTGGAGCTACATACTATATATCCCATTCTGGACTGTAATAATGAGTGAAATTTTGTCCTTGTTCAAAATATAGGGTTAAGATTACCAGCTATGATGACTTAGAAATAAGAGAGTTAATCCAGTTATTTTTTCATTTAAATTTCTTTTTCATTTTTGTGCAAAGTTTGGGAACATTTGTATTACCAGTCTCATCAGTTAATTATAGTAACTTGTTAGATTATAAACAATTTGGGTCAATAATCGTTGACTTTCATCTGGTAATTAAGATAACTCCCTGAGAATCTGAAAATGATGCTACAAAGCAGGGAAAGGCTTTAAACTATATCACTACTGTATCCAGTATAATGGTTTTTAACTTCATTACACAATAGCCATAAAGAAATACGAGACAATCTGATTGGCTGAGAAGTCTTAAAACTCTGAAGTTGCTGGGTCCAATCTATTTACACATATGGGAAATTAGAATTCACTTCATGCAGCATGCTTATCTTTCTTAAACTGCCTTTACACCACAAGACACATTCACCCATCAACAAACATATGCACTTATTCACAGAGTGCCTTTTTAGCACAAAGAGCAGGTTTAGTTGACACAGGTGGGGTTCCTCTATTATCTTCACTAGATCTCTGAATTCAAAACCACTACTTTAACTCTGGTTTCAACTATCCACTATATAATAAAGGCAACATGTCAGAAACAATGTAATATTTAGAAAGAAAAAAAAGACTGGCAACTTCCTTCCATCCTTACCAGTGGACATGGGATCCAAGCTCCCCAGTCTGACAACACACAGTCTTCCGGGCAGGGCAGGTGGCTCTTGCGGGCCCCCAAAGGCATTTCCTCTGGGTCACACAAGTAGTCCTCCACCTGTTCAGAGGGCCCGTCTATAGTGTTCAGCATGCACCTGGTCACAAAAAGTTGAAGCAAAAGTTAGTTTCACAGCATTCCTTCAACAACACTCGAATATTTGAGCCTATTTTTACAGTCTTCTTGAACTAAAGCTGTTAATAAACATGAATACATGTGGTCTTTGTAAAGTCTTTGTAAAGCTAAATATCTGGATATTAAACCAGATGTACTCTATATTGCCAAAAATATATTTTTTAATGAAAATGGTTTAACATGATGTCGACCCATCGTCTAAGCTATAACAGCTTCAACTCTTCTGGGAAGACTTTCCATATGATGGGGATTTTTGACTACTCTTCAAGAAGCACATTTGTGAGGTCAGACACTGATAATGGACACGAAGGCCAGTCCCCACTGGGGATTTTAATCACGTGGATTTAAAATCTGTGCTTTCTAAATTCCTTCAGCACATTATGTGTGAAATGATCAGGCCAGACCTGATCAAGGGAACGCACACTGCTGAGGTAGTGAAGAAAGCCCACAAGAGACTCTACTTTCTGAGGGTTCTCAGAAAGAATAACATCCCTGAGAAACTTTGTGTCCTACTATCACTGCACAGTAGAAAGTATCCTGGTATCCTTCTCCAGCTGCACAGTAGCACAGAAGAGAAACCACTGCAGGGTTATACGGGTCGCCCAGCGGATAGTGAGCTGTCCACTCCCCTCATTTAAAGAACTGCACAACTCCCACACTGAGAGTGGTCTCAGGAACATTAAGAAAATCCCTCAACACCCATCACTCCCTGATCA